AATTTTAAGAATTGGTCTTGGGCTTCCAAATCTGGCATATGTTCTCCTTCCTTAAGAATAATTTGCCATTAGAAATATGTCCTCAGTATAAAAAAAGAAAATGCTGCAACATGTATAGGAAGTTGAAACCTCTTGAAATTATGATGATAGGTTGTATAAAAAAACAGATTAAATGTTTTTCCCATTTCTTTCCAAGTCTTTTTGATGCAAAAATGTTTTTAATCCGAGTGGGGGGGCTGTAACCAGGCTGTGTGCTTGCAATCTGCACTGCTTTGATTTTTTTGGGGGCTGTTCTATGGGAATATGAAACCAGTTAGCTTGTTAGTCTGGTCTTTCGGCACATGCTGTGATGAGAAAAAAATTGCTGTTGCAATTATGTTTGAAGTCTGCAGCCATCTCATCCGTCATTTTTTTTTAATGAGCTGGAGTGTTATTTGTAATCACTGAACATAAAATAAATGACGGTGTAAATCATTCTGCTTCCTTTTGATCTTAAACACACATTTAGCAGGGTCTCAAGTGAAGGACTTTGGGCGCAGATCGAAATCTCAGAATCTCGTAATTTGAAAGGGATCTTCAAGAAACGGCATGAAAATTGTGGTGTTGTTGGTCTGCAGTGCAATTCCCTTGTTACGCTTCTTGGTATTTTTTTTTTAATGCCGCAGCAGTGGATCTTTGTGGATCAAGCCAATCGATAAAGACTCTGGCCATTTAATTTTAATTTTTAGGGTATTTCCGTCCACACTAAAGATCATTATACTGTCTGCTGGTTTTATTGAGAGGCGTGTGGTGGCGTTAATGAATATTTGATATTTACAGCATCGAGCTGCCGTGGGAATTGAAAGTTGTGAACAGTCTCAGGGTCATCAGGAGACGGCAATCAGAATTTGTGTCATGTTGGTCTTTTCGACTCGATGCAAATTAAAAAGGAATACTGGGAAGAGCTTTCATGAAACCAGGTTTTGATTTTTTTGTTTTTTATCTGTTTGCTGGAGTTATTAGATGCTGCTGGATGATTATTAACTTTATGATGAATTATGCATATGGCTGCCTTGGAGTAATTTTAGAACTGTAGAAATTAAACCACTTCCATGTTTGCAGCTGCGTTTCCACTCCCTGGAAGCAGCCAGCTAGGGCTTCAGGTGTGGGCATAACTGGGGGGTTGAGGTCTCCATCCATTTGAGGGGGTCCAGTGAGTTGTATTGGTTGGTTGTGATTATCGGGTGGATTAGAGCCCCCATAATTTACGCCCATGGATACAGGTGTTCATAGGCATTGTTTGATTCATGATTGCGATTTGATTTGCAATATATATTGCATTGCATGCAGGTGAATGCGAACTTGCATACGAGTTATGTGCGTCTCTGAACATAAAACAATTCTCACAAAAGCTGAGGTAAGTTAAACTAATAAGAATAAAACAATTCCAGTAAGACAAAAAAAACAAGGATCCTGCAACTAACATGGCTTACATGACATACTACTAAATTAACTGGTATAAAAAGTATTCATAGGAGAAATGCTAATATGTATATGATGTCTGTGATATTTTGACAATTTGATTTATAGGGTTGCTCTCCTGGTCTTGTGATGCATACATTTCTGTAAAAAGAAAAAGCAATGTGTAATTTCCAGCATCATCACCTCTTGCAGTTTGCATGTTGTATTTATATTGTTATATTTCGAGCTCACAGCAGCATGAGCCATGTGTTTCCCTGTGTGCTCAGATCCGGCCCTACGTGGGCTGCCTGGTCCAGTACCTGCCGCTCCTGTGGAAGCAGTCAGAGGAGCACAACATGCTACGCTGCGCCATCCTCACCACGCTCGTCCACCTTGTGCAGGTACATCCGGCAAGGCCGTCTGGGAGCTCATATGATGCTAGACCTACTACGAAGTCCCCCGTCTTGGCGTATATCCAGCCCAAAGTGAATGCTAAAATGTAACACGGCCTGCTGGGTCCTCTATTCGGAGGTGTACACAACTTTCTCTCTGACATAAATGCGGCTTTGGACCATCTCTAGAAGGATGGTGAATTGAACCGTATGATACATGTTTGTGGGGAGCAGAATGGGACAATATTTAGGTACTGGAGTAGCAGAGGGACAAAAGATTCACCACAAGGAAAATGCAGGAAGGAACCAGGCTTTGGGAATGGGTACCATGCGGAGTAGACTTGGGCTGCAGGGTGTGGGTCTGGGTCTGCATTGTCTGCTGTAACTGGTAAAGCCTCGGCAGCATTTTAAAACAGGCTGCTTTTGTTGTGGAGACGGCCTCCTGCCACTTGTGATTGTTTACTGTAACATTTAGGTGCGCAATGGATTGGTGATTAGCACAGAGGGCTAACCGTGCACCTCATAGGTGTCTCTCCACCAGCACAAAATTCGGTGCTTATAAACTTGGGAATATCACAGATTCGTGATGCATGCTTTACTCCGCCGTTGAGTTCTCTCTGCGGTACTGCCGCGATGCCAGCACAAATCGCCAAGCCAGGATTTTAATGCCTCTGGCATTCATTAGCCTTATGTTGCTGTGGCTGCTTTAAGAGGCACTTGGCCCACAGTAAGGAGCGATCGTCCAAAGTCAGTCTTCTCCAATGCCATCATCATGGCGGTCTAAAACAAAATGTAAGTATTGGAGCAGAAATGTGAGATTGCCCATTTGTTCTTGCCTTTCTCTTTGTACAGTGGTACTTTGTCTGCTTATGAACGCTGGTTTATTCCAGCTGCCCTTTTCCTCACCAGGACCTTTGAGATGAGTTTCTATCACTATCTACAGCCTGTAATTTCGATCTGTGACCCTTGTGTGACCCTCGATCCATCACTGCCTAATTGGTGGCTCGGTTGCCAGCTTTATCCTGTTGATATGAAGGTTTTTTTTGGCGGCTGATAATGGAGCGCACTGGTTATGTGTGATATTAAAGATGACGGCTAGGTCGGATGAGGACACAGCAAAGGATGTCTCCGTCACTCGGCCAATCACTACCCATTCTTCTCCATTTTCCTTGTCCCCTTAGCAACAGTAATTGATTGTTTTTCTCGGTCTTCATAGACCTTTGCTTTGATGAATATTAATAAATTCTGAAAGACGTTTAACGTTTTTGAGTTGTCAGTTAGAGGTGACAGTTGCACTCTGTTGGCTTTCAGTACGTTTGTCCAATTACAGTACGTTCTCTGTGTGCTGAAGTCTTTCTCGTATTCAGTCGCTCCACTTCATTAAAGCTTCACAATTGGCTTTGGTGATGTTCTTGTTTGTATTGTTGACATTACACACATCCTGGAAGCTGTTTGTTATCCTGGGCAGCTGATTAAGTCACCTCCGCACCTCTTTAGGGGTGCATGCCCTCAAGGGACAGTCCAGTGTCCTTAGGAAGCAGATTTACACCTGTGTCCTTAATAGTGGCAAGAGTCGTGACATATGGCTGACATTCAGTAGCATTAAATATTTACATAGCAATTGTTGACATTTGGTTTCAGTGTCACATGACTTGATTTTGATGTATCAAAGTCCATCACCCGGTTCTCAGAATAGACCCTCAGTATGACTTCAGGGCTGTCACTTTGGCAGGTGCCCAGGAAGCCTGTGGAAGACTAGTGAGTGTTCTTCTCCGGGGTTAATCTACATATCAGGTCCTGTGCATTATTTGCTCTGGGCACGCCAGTTCTGCGTGTTTAGGAACCTTAGTGAGTTGGGCCACAAATAAGTTTCTTGTTTATCATAAAAAATTATATATCCACCCACACCCCAACATTTTCCCAAACATTTTTGGATTATTTAATCAGCTCAGTTAATAGTCTGCATCAATGTGAACTGCACTGCTTACATACCTTTTTGTTTTGTGTTTGATATCCAAGGGTCTCGGAGCAGAGAGCAAGAACCTTTACCCGTTCTTATTGCCTGTGATCCAGCTGAGCACGGACTTGTCCCAGCCGCCGCACGTGTACCTTCTGGAGGATGGCCTGGAGCTTTGGTAAACCTCCCCTCCCCCACGCCTCTCTGTCTCCACTATGCATTAAGAGGTGCACCTGTTTCTGTTTGCCCGCAGACGCATGTGTGCGGTGAATCAGCAGACCTTGTTGGTAATTTCTGCTGTTTGCGAAGCCTGGGCATGGTCTGGGTTCTGTTTGCCAGAGGGGCTAGCAAATACCTCAAAAATATTAACATAAGATGTGTTAATCAGGCCAGTGTTGTCCTCTTCCGTATGTGTGTTTACATGACAGCAGTCACTTTATGCTGTGTCCCATCCATTCATCTCTCCATCCATTTATGTTAGATTTTTGCTTATTAGGTGACTAAGCCTAGAGTCTATCCCAGTAATCAACGAGCAGCCAGGGTGGGTTATCTGTTAAGCAGAGAGAAGTTTAAAAATGCTAAGAATGTCAAGAATAAATATGTTGTTGTTAAGTTGGCTGTGTGAATGACTGGCTGGCCCGAGATCCTTTAGTGCACTGGACAGACTAAGCATCTGTGTCGGTTCTGGAACATTCAGCTCGGTGACAGAGGTGACGTAAACACAGCAGCCGCAAGGCATACTGATTGCATTTGCAGCCGGGGCCGGTGCCGCTTGTATGTCACGTCCACAGTATTACGCAGGGACGTTTTGGGGCTTTAGTGGGGACCCCATGTCTATGGGGGTGTGGGGAGGGTGGCTTGGGGGGGAAGCACTGCTTCTCACTCTGCCTCAACTTTTAATTGCTTTAGTAAAGCTATTGTTTGCCGTTGGTTCTTCGGGTGTAAACCAGGTTTAAATGAGAAGCATAAACCAAAGACCTGCACATGCTGTGACTGTCCACAGGAGAGCATTTCCCACCCCTGGGTTATGAGCACCTGTAGGTTTGCACATGGGGGAATCATGCATTTTAAACACGTATCCGCCACCCCCCACGTCGTTTGCCATTTTCTTTATTGACTGAAATAACATATTCAGGTATATGGCTGTTATGATGCCCCGAAATGCATTCTGGGGAACAATTCTGCAGTGTTTGCGAAAGACGCACCTGCAATTCAGACACTGACTAATGTGGGACCCTTGGTTGCCTCCTGTTTGTTTGAAAACTCATGTATCAAATTGCAGGTTGCCAGACCTCATTTGTTATTATATATATTATATTGCTGATTTCCCTTCAACCCAATAAGACTCATCTTTGTAGCTGTGTTTACAGTTGGGCTTTAGTTACTTCAGACTAAAGTCCTCATTCATATGGAGTCCATATTATGTGTATGTGTGTGTGTTTGTATGTATGTATGTATGTGTGTGTGTGTGTGTGTGTGTGTGTGGGTGTATGTGTGTGTGTTTGTGGCTTCACCTGTATGTGAAGGTGACACTTTCTTTCTCATGTAACATGCCCTCTGGTTTATCGATCTCTGGTTAAAAGTGTTTGTTTTATACCCCACGGACCATCTAGTGTACGGACCCTTGTGTTTTCCGCATGCATGCCAATGCATTCACACTTTTCATCTCCTATTATCTATTGTAAAGTCAGGCTAGTGCTCAGATTCGGCACATATTCCCAGATACCATCAGTATCATGCATGTATGCACATTAACGGCTCTTCTAGTCGACAGCCCTTTTTCATTTTAGTTTTGTTTTTCTCTACTTCTCAGTTTTGCCTCCTTTAATTTGGAATCTGTAATTGATCATAATTGATCAAATAATTGATCTTGCTCAAGTCACAGTATGTAGTACTTTGCTGCTGTTCCAGTGCCATCCCCAGTAAATATGGTGGTTCATTATTTTCATTCACATGCCTTTAGATTCAAGATTCTTATACAAGTACACATGTAGTGCAGAGGTCAGGGGTCACCAACATGGTGCCCCAACGATCACGAGTCACCCGCGGACCTGTTCTAAAAATAGCACAACTCACCATTGACGTGAACCAGTTGCTATTCTTTTTTAATCACATTTGCATTTATATAGATTTGAAAGTGACAATATCTAAAAAAATAACATTTAAAGCATGTTTATTATACATCAAGTTTAGATAAGTTGAGGAGGGCGTTTCAAACTGGTAGCCCTTCGTATGGCTTACTACCCATGAAGTAGCTCTCAGTTTCAAAAAGTTGGTGACCCTTGATATAGTGAAATGCAGACCTGGTCACTCGTAAGACGATGCATATATAAAGAAGATATAGAATATACACAGACACAGTTTTAGCACATCCTTGTTTTTCCTGGTTAACACTTTTACATTGTGTCTGTGGTATTATTATTCTTTTTTTTGTTTGTTTTTTCGGTGCATTTCAGGCTTTCTGACACGTTCAAGGTTATGCCTGCAGGCCCACAGCTGTGCTGGTTTAGCCCACAGTGTCCCAGACTCAGTTACATCACTCCCCCACACTGAGGCATCAAAGCTTAATGAACTACTAATGGGTTCATCCTGTTCAAGGTGCCAATTGAATAAATCGCAGTGTGAAATTTCACACACCTCACCGTTTTAAAGGCTATAACTTTTTGTTACATTGATGGTTGTCAAGTTGTATTATGCAATTCCAGTCAGTGCTCCCTTTATTTGATCTGTTAAGTAACAAGCCAATGGGACATTGATATAGTGAAATGCAGACTATTTGAGCCTTGAGGTGAATTCATTGATCTGTGTAAGAATGACAGAAACACAACTGGAAATTATAGTAGGCTTTCAAAGCATTTTGTTTAACAAGATTTAAATTGTCTGATTCATTCGCTCAACAGCTCAATCAAGGCTAGTTAATTAAGAGCTCATTTGTGCAACAAATGCCTGCATACACAACGGGTACGCAAGACGGGGACCGGCAGACGGCACGGTTCAGTGAAGAGCTGCCTCTCCTCAACGCGCATCCCACTTGGTGTGCAGAGTTGGGGGGGGTGGGGGCTTGTCAGTCTATCAGTTTATAGCCGTAAGGTCTCTGCCACACTTTAGTCCTCATGCAGACGGTGGAGCCCTGAGCCAGATATTTACGAGGTTTTTCCTCTTCCGTCACACATTTTTCCACTTTGATAAATGTCACACCCCAAAATCTCCAAGGTTCCCTCATTCAAGGGCTTGATACCCCACGGTCTTTGTGGGGGGGGGGGGGGAACCCTAACTCTAGAATCCCTTGGGGTGATTGTTGCATATATAATGGCGTAATCTTCTGAAAACCAATGAGAAATTAAAGTATTTGGAGATGTGAAATTTTTGGAGATTTTTCTACTGAAATAACATTGTAAAAAAAAAAAAATTCTTTGTAGAGAACAGTAGCAGCTTGTTCCTTGTGTATTTTTGTCGCATGTCCACAGCTATGGAAGGACTTTTGAGAACCATTTTAACATTCTTATCTATCTGGCTGAACCTTGGGTGACCAGGTCCACCAGGAGGCGTGTGAGTGACGCAGGAATTAAACGGTCATATGGCAAACTAAATTATTTCCCGCTTAGCAGCGGTAGCTAGACCTCCAAAAAGCAGTTGTTTTTCTTTTTTCTTTTTTCTTTTTTCTTTGTTCTTTCTTTTTTCCCTTTTTTTCATAATGGCTTGTGTTTCCAGCCAGATAAATTTTCCGATTATGTCCCCATTCGGGTCTCTGCACACGCCGCTTGAACAGGATCCCTCTTTCTCTCCCTGTCAGACTTGCACCACTTCCAGGCTAACCCTTCTGTTTTGGAGACCTTCTAACATTTCTTGCCTGCGCTTCTCTTTCGCTGTTATCTCCCGCACCTTTTCAGCGAGAGAA